TCCTAGCCATCCTTCCATGTCATCTAATAGAATATTTTTTTTCCCCCTGCATCACATTCATTCAGAATTTTGCATTATTTTTTGCCAATTCTCATCTTTATCACCATTTACATCCTATTTTCATACAACCCACAGCAACATAGATGACATCAGTTTGTATTTTCTGACATACTTATAGCCCTTTCTTTCATTCACAGTTAAACCTACACCTTTATTTCCATGCATGTATTCATCAACTCCATTTCATACAATCACACCACCTTCATTTAGATCTGTTTGAATTTTCTCTCACTGCTGTAAACTATTAGCTCCCTATCCCAGCTTGAGTCATTGCTGCAAAGTGAGTGAAGCAATATGGCACATTTAGAGTCAGATTAGTGGCACAGAAATTAGGGGAGGGGGGCCTGGGGTTTCTCCTTCTTTCCTAGGTTTCAGAAGAAAGTGAACAAAATTGCAGGAAACTGCTATTGATTTGCAGCAATCCCAAGGGCACCAAATGGGAATTCAAGGGCTGCTTATTGTCTTCCCCAGTTTTTAAAAGTTAGTGAATGAATGAATGAATTAGTCCCATTAATGTTACTAAAAGCTCTAAATAAAGAACATATTGGATTATAGCATACAATCTTAATAGTAAACTATTGATAAAAATTGATTATTTAAAACCTCAGATACTTTTATTTTTCGCATGGTATAATGGGGGAAGACAAATACTGGATCATAGTAGATTTTTTTAAAGAACTGAAGATTAATTATATTTAGTTTAATATGTTGTAATAGTGTTATTTCCTATTTATATAATACCATTCCTTTAAATAATTTGTACTCATACTCAGTTTTGATACAGTATATCTAAGTGTGAGTGTGTGTGTGTATGTGTGTGTGTATAAATATACAAGTTGATTTTCGTTATTTCCACAATAATCTGTATAACATGGTGTTTATGTAGCAAATATGACAATATTCATGGTAATTTAATAGAAATTTGATCTTGGATGAACAATAAGTAAGCTGTATAATTCTAACTTAGGACAGGTGTCGATAGCACAAATTTCCTTAAAACAGTAACTCTATCATGGTATCTATTTTAGCAAAGTGAGTTGTATCACCTAAGTAGGCCAGCAGGTTTTCTGTATAGTTTATGCAGGTTCCTAATAATAATGAATGTTATAAACATTAATGTTTAGAGGCATTCTCATCTTCAGTTTCCAGGTGAATAAAATTGTTCCTGCTAAGCATAACATTGCAGCCTTATGGAATAGATTCTGAGGTTCAAAGAATAATGAATCCCTATTAAAATAAAGCTCTGAAACTAATTCTTTCTTTGTTCTAGTGGCAACAGTGACCTGATCTCAGAAATCTGACTGGAGAGTATGTTCAGTGGAGACTAATCTGTTAAGTAAATCAGTTCTATTCAGAATTCCAGAATATCCCTGTAGAATAAGAGCAGCAGGGGCTGGAGAGATTGTTCTTGTTTAGCTAGATAAGCTAGTTTGACCTTTTTGTCTTTTAAATCCAGACTCTTTTTAAATTAGGTTATACCCTGTGCTAGTAATTGGCCATTTTAAATTTACATATATTTGAATGAATCTATTTATGTAATTAACATATGCAAATTAGAAGTATGACTATGTTATTTGTCTCCATTGAATTTTAGGCGTACAATTTCACGTTAGGTGGTAATTTTATGCAGTAACAAAACCATAGCATGCATAAAGCACTAACTACTGTGAAAAGATTAAAGGATTCCTCATGATTCCAACTGGTTTGTTTACTTTTTCTAGCAATAGTGGTTCTTCCAAGTTCAGATCTCTTACCACACTTAGAAAGCAACCAGAGCCCTTCATGTGACAAATAACCAGGTCTCAGTCTGGTTATTTTTTTGGATAGAGTATGCTTTCTCTAGTAATATCTTAGCTTAGATGATGACAGGTGTCATTAACTCACTGTTAGTTTTGACTAAGCCCTTTCTTTTCCAAATGTATATCCAGGTTTTATTTAGTATCTTCTGTTTCCCTGATATGATTGAGTACCAGCTTAAAAAAGATAAGCATTTGAAGTAAAAAAAATTCTTGCCTTCAGCAGCCATGAGTAAATTCTTCAGTGTTTGTTTCAAGGCTTTGACATGTCATGAAGTGTAAATCTACTCTAACACCAAAATTCTTCCTGATGCCTCATGGCAGTTATCAGTGTTTTCATCCTGAAAAAGTATGCTGATTACTGAATATTTTGCCTTCATATTTGATACTGAGTAAAATCCATGGAACAAATTCCGGTGTTTTTAACATTCAGCTACATTTCATTAAGAATTTTTCATATCACTCCTTTTTCTTATTTGGTATTAGTAATGTGATATAATACAGAGGATATAATACTAATTCTAAGCATAATATATTTCCTCATTTATGTTAAACTGGTTTATATTTAAATATTGGAACATATTTATCTTCCTCAACACATCAAAAATTCTTAAACATTTATTCTTAGTGAAATATAGGTGATATCTCTTGGGCTAGTGAAGACATTTTTATGTCCTCAGGATTGTGTATGCTAAATTTTACTTTGTTTTTAAGTTTGTACTGATTTTGTTTTTACTTAATATCTTTATAGTATAAGTGATCCTGAGTAGTTTGCTTGCCTCTGCAGAAACTAGAACCATCCATTAGTTGCAAAGAACTCCTCATTCTCAAATGAGAAACATCTAGAGTTGAGGATTGCTATACTGGAGGAGTAAAAGAAGCCCGGAAATAGTTAGACAATATACTGACAGGAGAGAATGACAGTGCCCATACAGTAGAAAATTAGATTATTAGAAATAAATCTAGTGAGGTGTGTGGTACCTTTGTTGACAGTATTATTACATGCTTGCATGATGTGAACTTTACAACATACTGTATTGAGATAAATTAGGAAGGTATGTTGAGAAGATATTTCAAAATATGAATGTGTTATGAATTATGGTTGAAAGATCCTAGAGGCTTAAAGCTATTAGGTTGGAGGATGATGTTCAGAGCATTTCTGGAAATGATACTGGGCTATCATAGCTACAGATATGCCCATGATGTCAGATGGAAGTATTAGAGGAGTGTCCTGGTTCCTTTTGAAGACATGAATTGGGATTAGGCTTTTTAGGATAGAATAAGGAGTTTAAGAGATATGATTAAGATTCATGAGATATTCTTTTTGTATGAATACAGGATCATCCAAAAAAAAAAAACCTTCTTTATAAAATAAAGGCAAAAAGAAAAAAGAGATATATGCCTTCCTTACACTGTAATTTAATGTTCAATATTCCATCCCTTGGGAAGTGTCATCTGCTGAGATCTTGGAATCAGTCCTTCTCTGTCACTGCCTTCTTTATGTGGAATAGCTTCCCCCAGATACTAGAACAGGCTCCAATTCTCCAGGCCTTTTGCAGAGCTATTTTTTTAAAAAGTACTACAATAGAGAAGGCTCACTTCCCGGGTCCCATCAGTTCCCCCCATCCTATAGCCTCCAGACACTGGAACAAGACCTTGACAGCATCACCTGGTCAACCCAGGACTGAGATGTACAGTTGGGTATCATCAGCATACTGATGATACCTGATCCTGAGCTGACAGATGATTACACCCAGAAGCCTCATGTGGATGTTAAACAGGTAGGACAAGAGCACTGAGCTAAATTAATGGACAGAAGGACTTTGTCCACTTTTTGGGCATCACAAAATCAAACTCAGTCCAGATAATCTCACAAGGCAGTCAACTCACTTGAACTTGCCAAGTCAGAGTCCAACTCCAGGCAAATCTGAGCAACTTTATCCATCAGATACCACGAATACTCCTCACTACGGCCCTGAAGATGATCCTGTGGCCCAACTCCCCTTAACAGGGAGCAAGTCACACAAAACAGAACTGCTGGGTAGTTATCAATGCATGCAGTAATAGCAGAAAAATAACAGCATTTCATCACCCTTATTGCCATGATATAGGCCCAGATATGGGCTATCACTTGTATTTGATCAAATTCACTCTTTGTCTTTCTCCAGCAGCTTAAGATGTTTTGGAGGGATTTTGTTGGTTATGACCTACAGTGATGCCAAGAGGTAGTACTAATCTGTTGGTTGTTTCAGAGATGTTTCTGATGTATGGGAGAGTTATCCGTTTCATAGATTGTGATGGTTACATTGCAATAGGTTGTGTAACTAAGAGCCTTTTAATGAAGTTGCATGGTTATTGGTTGCATTGGGAGATGTTGTATAGATAGTCTATATGAGAATGAGTTATTAGCGGCCCAGAAAAATATATAGTGACAGATTGTGGGGAGGCTGGGAAAGGAATGGAAGCAAGAATAGGCAAATGATTAAGAGATAGCAGGCAAGTCAGTTGCCAACTTATCTCATAAATGATAACTTAACCCAAGTGGAAAGAATCCTGAGAAGAAGCATTTCAAGTAATTTGAAAAGACTCTGCCTTAAATAACTCGCTATAAATGAGATGACAAATACTCTTACAATTTCCAAGATATTTACACCAAACTATCATTAAAGATATCTTACTGAAATCTATATAGTTCTTGCTTCCTTGATATTATTCAACTGTGTGGGGCTTGACAAGTATTCAAACAATTAATGTAATAGAAGTTATTGCATAATAATTCTGGTGAATGGATCATAATACAATTTGGATTGTATTCAGCTGGGTCTGTTAACCAGCAAAATAAATAGAGCTGGCTGAATGGATTCCAAGTCCTTCCTCCACCACCCAAAATCTGTTTTTGAGCCTTAGAAGACTCACTGGAGCAGATTTGAGGTGCTCTAGCAAGGAGAGAAAAATGAGGAAGTTCTGCTCTAGTGGTGTGTATTTGATAAAATACCTAGAAGGGAAAGAACTAAGGCCAAAAACTGGCAAGTGCAGACCACTAGGATGGAAAATAAATAAAATTAAAGTGCAGATTCTAAGCATACGCAGGAATCTAAGAAACAAAGTAGGAGCATTGCTAACTTCTACTTCCTTTTATCATAGGAGATCCTAGAAAGCTGCAGTCACATAACAGAAATGCTCAGGAAGCCCTACATGGACTTGGTTTCAATGTAAGATAAGTCTGAGGATCTATTTCTGACTGCCATACAGTACATTAGTTTAGCTGGCATCTCTGTAATAACCAGCATGATTCCAGCATGAACTGACTGGATTACAAGAAAGGTGTATGTTTCTAGGGAACCTGTCTATGGAGAATTCTATTATGTTCTTGTTCTGCTTGGTGACTTCTGTTACACATCAGGCTGACCCTCATGGGAACAGAATGCTGTAATACATAGGCAGGGTTTTTCTGTCCTTAGGATTATGTTAAGTATTAATAAAGATTTCTGTAGGTACTACAACTGCTAAAGGTAAACCTTCCCCATGCAAAATTAGTGAAACTATCTCATTTTCATCATTTGGATAGGTCTGCAAAATTTGGGAGGTGGGTCTGCTTTTTGAGTCACATTTCAAGGAAACTAAAAATTAGGGCATCCTAATTCATTAATATGAGAGGTGCCTTCTGAAATTGCAGCTCAGGACTCTACACTTTTTTTTTTTGCCTTCAACTTATACCCAGTCACATAACAAGCAACACATACACAGAGTCTTAACATGTTAATTTTTTATTCAAATTAAGTTTTTAATAACGTACCTTACATACTGTATACAAAAATACACTGTAATTTCTACTTAGAATACAATTTGATCATATCTCATTATAATTCTGGTCTTTGAAATTCCTGTAAGGAGTATTTTCTACATCAACTTTTTCCATGCGGACACTTTCCCAGACTGCAACTTCCATATTTCCCAGCCACTGTAGCATGATGTTTGGAGAAGACTGGTTTACAAAAGACACAAGAGTGATAAAAGACACAAAATCAAGGAGTAATGACGAAATTATGAAGACATTCAATAATGGAGCATAGGCGATTCATTCAGCCCCATTGTCGGAAGTATAATGATATAAATATATGAATAGGGTTTGTTTTTATAGTGGATTTTTATGGATTGCGTAATTTAATTATTTATGGGGTATTTTAATTGTTTCTGGGCTTTTGATTTTTAATTGTGAGCTGCCCAGAGTCACCCATTGCGGGAGATGGGCGGCATACAAATTTAATAATAATAATAATAACAACAACAATAATATCTTAGGCAAGTTGCAACATCATTTTGCCTAAAAATAAAGTAAAAGTGGTAAGTATTAGATGTGATCACCAAAAATATCCAACTTCAAAGGATATATGCTTGTTTATGATATGTCTAAAAGTAATATAAGTGTATGCAATATGTATAATAATGTAATACCTTTTACGAAGTCTTAGATTACAAACTTTTTCATTTGTTCCCCAGAGTACCACTGAACAGATTTTTTTTTAAAGGTACAAACATTAATATATTAATTAATATTAATATTCTAGGAAATATATTTTTTTATCCTTTTTAAAGCAAACTTCAAAGATTACTTTATTCTATATGAGTATTTATATTATGAACCTAATTATGCTAATAGCTCTCCCTCCTTCCTGCAATCCTGTGCCCTTTCTGATCTTCTCAGATAAATTCTCTGGACAAGATAAGGTATGTTATAGAGGAGTAAAATATATCTATGAATGGCAGCTTTAACTAGTTCACCAGTCCTGTGAATGGAAAGGATCTTTTCCTTAGTTATTCTGGATTCAAGCCAATTTGTTTTATTTGTTGCTTCCTGAGATGACATTATAATGCAGCTTTTACAATGAAAAATTCACATACTTTAAAATAATAGTGTTTCAACTTATCTCGTGATTTATATTTTCATTCTACAAGATACCCTTAGTGTAGTTGCCATAGAAAAGAAGACTATGCAGAAAAAGAAGGTTGACAAGTTCTGTGGTCAAGTTCAATCTGAAATCAACAAAGCATGCAAGCATGATGTGTGCTTGTGGTTGGAGACAGGAATGCCAAAGCTGGAAATAGTAAAAAGTAGTTGGACTGCATAGCCTAGGAAACAGAAATGAAGCAGGAGAACAACTTATTAGTTTCTGCCATTTGCATGATTTCTTCATTGCTAACACAGTCTTCAAATAACTAAAACAATGCCTATATATATGGACATCACCATGTGGAGTACAAAGTAATCAAATTGACGATATTATTGATACAAAGAGGTGGAAGACCTCAATTATAACAGCAAAGAAATGGCCAGGAGAACTGTGGAACAAATCATAAACTGCTCTTATGCAAGTTCCAAGTCAAGCTAAAATGGAAGAACAAAGCAACCAGTTTCCATGTTATAATCTTGACTGTATACCCCCATTTACAAGGATAACATCACGAGTCACTCTGAAATCTTCAATTTCATTGATAGAGAACCAGAGGAACTGTGGAATGAAATCAAAGCAGTTGTTACGGATGAATATGAAAAGAAACTGCCAAAGATCAAGAAACTGAAGAAAGCAAAATGGATGTCAGAACAGACAGTGGAGATTTTCAAGAAGAGAAGCTAAACCCCCCCAAAAAATAAGATTTCAGGAAAGAACTTAACAAGAAACTTAAGGAAGTTGTTAGAAGAGACAAGTAGCAATATTGTGAAAATATCTGTAAAGACATTGAAGGTGGGACAGACACTGAAGAACAAGGAAAGTCTTCCAAAAGATCTCCAAATTCAGAAGGAAGTTCTAACCTCAAACAGGCATGCTAAAGATGCCAGTGGATGAATAGTAACTTCAAAGAAGATCAAAGAAAATTGGAAGGACTATACAGAAATTCTCTACAACAGAGGTGTCAACATCCAAGATACCTTAGAAGATATTCCCTATTTACAACAATCTCTGGTACTAGAATATGAAGTTAGATCAGTATTCCGGTCATTACCAATTGATAGAATATCTACAGAAATATGGCAAACAACAGAAAAATAATATGTAAAGTGTCTGTAAATCAAACCATGTGAGGAAATCTGGAAAACAACATAGTAACCAACAGATTGGAAAAAGTCAGCCTACATACCAATACCAAAGAAAGAAGACTTTACAAAGTGTGCAAACTATCACACAATATTCTTGATTTCACATGCTAAAAAAATAGTACACACATTAGAGCCCTACATGAAAAGGGAGATGCCAGATGTTCAAGCTGGCTTAGAAAAGGCCAAAGAACAAGACACAATATTGCTGATGCATGTTGGATAATTGAGAAAGCTAAAGAATAGTTTTTTTAAAAGTCAATATGATGATAGAAAGTACTGAGTATAGAAAGTATTTGATTGTGTCAACCAAGTCAAGCTATAGAGGTCCTTAGGAAAATGAGAGTCCCACAATATTTCATTGTCTTCGTGCAAACCTGTACCCAGGATAGGAAGCCACAGTCCAGTAAAACTGGTAAAACAGACTGACTCCAAGTCAGCAAAGGAGTGAGAAAAGGCTATATACTCTTCCCATATTTTTTCAATTTGTATGTTAAATATATATTGAGGGAATTTGGATTGGAAGATGAATGGAGGAAGAAACATTAATAACCTTCACTATGCTGATAGGTGAAAAGCAAATTATCTGCAAGCTCTAGTAATGAAAGTCAAGAAGCACAGTGAAAAAATGGGATTATGATTATATATAAAGAATGCAAGCTTAAAAATAAAGAAAACCAAGCTATTGACAGCAGCTCCAGCAACCAGCCTTAGGACTGACTATGAACAATAAAGGAACTAGCAGTTATGGAATATACTGTAGGCTAATACTTTATAGAGTACCGATATAAGCCTTGTAAAAGGTAATAAGATACCGTGACATGCTATACATATAAAAATCAGAATTCTGCAATTTCATAATATGTGACACGTAAGAGTTGGACTTTGAAGAAACAGGATAGAAATAATATTGATGCTTTTCAATTTTGGTGTTGGAGAAGACTCATAAGAATACCCTGGATAATCAAGAAACAAACAACTTGATCATAGAACAAAAGTCAGAGTTCTCATTCAAGGCACAAACAACTAGGCTCAAATTATCATATTTTGGAGACAACCCTTCTGGTCTTCTGGAAAGTGTTTAAGATCTACCTCTTTATCTGGGCATAGGGGTCAGGAAATTAGAAAAGCTCAGGGGGCTGTCATTTTTTATTCTCAGTTACCTTTTCTTTTCTCTATGATTATATGTTGTGTTTTTATAAATATTTATTTTGTTATTTTAAGTTTACATTCTCTTTGCTGCCCAGAGTCACTTTGGTGAGAGAGATGGCCATATAAATAGAAATAGATCAAAAGTGAAATTTTGCAAAGATCCAGCTCCCTTGAGAAGTCCATAATGCTGAGAAAAAGGAAAGGAAAGAGAAGAAGAGGATGACCAGCAGCAAGGTGGATGGACTTGATTGCAGCAGTGGTGGGTCCACCACTAGTAGACCTGAAGGGACAGGTTAAAGATAGATCATCCTGGACATCTATCTATATGGTCTCTAAGTGCTGACCCAGGTTGATGGCACATATTCAAACAATAGCAAACTTCTTATCTGCAGTGACTTTTTGCTTATTTGCTAAGTTGCTTTTGTTCCATTATATAAAATTAATTTAGAAATAGTGGCTGTATTCAGACAATCAAGACTTCATGAACTAGGATATTTAATTCCTGCACATATTGATCCTCTACTTGACTTTAGTTTTCCTTTTATGTGTATGAACAGACAAGCCAGGAAGCCACAGTTAATAATAGCTTCTTATTATGTCCCAAACTAGAAACTATGACAAATGGCTTCTACGCAAGCCAGGATTCAAATTCCAAAGGGTAACTGCATATGCTATCTTGTTTGGAAGTCATTAACTGTTTCCCAACTAAACATAGTGGCTTCTCTGCCTATTAGTCTGTTTGCCAAAGGGAGCAGTAAAGGAGGGACAAAGAGGTTATTTGTAGGTACATTAAAGCAGGATTTGATCATTCAAAGTGGGCCATTAAATATCTGTTCTTATTTTTTTAACCCCATCAGATTTTCTTGCCATAAACAACAGACTATTCCACATACTGCACACTATTCATTATACAACTATGATATAAATACTGAAAACAATTCACTTCTAATACATTATTAAAGATTG